CAAAAACACATATACTTACACATTACAGATAGTGCCTACCTACTATTTTACAAAAAAGCATTCGAAACGTCGGGAACCAAAAATCTAAATAAATCCGCGAAATAATCCGAAAAGATAGTTTTAGTTAAAATTTAAAAACCGACGTCCAGGCACTAAAATATAAAAAATAACTAAACAGGGGTTGTTGCATTAGAAATAGGTAAGGGAGTGGTACCCATCCAGTCGGCCAGCCTCAGGCTTGACAGAGTCTAATAAAATTTTGATACGGTTAAATACATCTTTACCTATTAGATATTCATATCTAAAATTGTGTAACTTTTCGTAAACAGACTCGTGTACAAAAATATCTGATTAGGTATCTAGTTCTAAGTGAATATTTCAAATACTTTTAAAAAATTGTGGTCATGAGCAAACTAAGTCGGTTTTATTCTTTTGTTAAAAAGTTTTTAATTTTTATATTTTTAGTGTCGAAATAAGTAGGTAATTTGATTACAAAGAAACTTTTTAATAACATACTCGAAATACAAAATACTGTTACAAAAAATAATTTTTAGTAAATCTATATTGTTATATTCAAGAATAGCCGCTTACCGATGCTTCGATAAAATTTATATGGAACCACGGGAGAGACTAAGGTTATAGACCCTTTCAAAAAAAACAAAAATTTTCCACACATTACAGGTTCAGTGCCTACCCACTTCGAGTAATCGGTGAAACGTCGGGAACCAAAAATCAAAAAAGATTCCGCGAAATAATGAGAACCTCCTAGTTTTATTTAAAATGTCAAATATTCGCGTAAATCTAAGAAATTATTAATGGGCAATATTGTTATATTAAAGAATCAAAACATATTTGTGCAAGATATGTATACAGCTAGGAGTAAATCCATCGAATGGCAGATTCATTAAATGTGTAGCATCTGTATTTTAATATAGAAATATCACTGTGGAAAAAATGTAGCAAACGTAATGTTAAACCACAGTTTTTGTCTGTCACACAAAATTCAATATAGCAGACTGTGTTTCGCAATACTGAAAAAAACTAATCATAGCTCGACTAACCGTTTGTAGTATCAAATGAAAGAGCACAAACTTTTTCAATCAACCGGCTACAGTTTTTCCTACATAAACATTTGTGTAACATTTGTTAACTGAAGAACGATACGGACTTATAAGTATAATATGTAAAATCAATCACTTAAAATATTATATGGTCATTAAATAGCTTTTAACTTTATTACGTTATTGAAATAAGTATTTTCAAATAGAAACAGCTTAGTTCGTTTTCCTTTGGGAGTAAGCCAACTTATTCGTCTTTAAATCATTCGAAATATGTACAGTATTCCGCTCTTTTATTTCTGGGGAAGAAATTAATAAAAACAAGGGAAAAGTTCATAAAGAAAAATATCACTGCAATGTAAAGTAATACTTTCTTGTTCTGGAAACGGGTCGCTGGCACCGCAAGTTTTTATAAACTAATTTAATACCAAAAACATTCTGAAATAGAACAGACTTCACCATCGTTTGCTCCGTTGAAATTTCAATTTTCACTAAGTGTCTTTGAGTAATTTGCATAATAAAAAACATCGTAGGTATCTAAAATTAATTTAAAAATTTACTTGAGTAGCTTATAGAATCGTTAATTTTATAATTTCCATTGTTACCTTGAACAATGATAATGAAAGTACATAATATTTAGAAAGTTAAAATGGAAAGATTGAAGCCATTTTTCTTTAAATAATTGCGTTTGTATGTATAATATATAATATTGCAACAAACGTGCCTAGCATTTAATGTCAGTTTTTGTTAATATATGAGTGCATAATAATGAGTTCGAGGAAACAGTTTCGCGCTAAATTAAAATCTCTCACAGGCGAATTAAAACCGGGAAGTTTTAAAGCGTACTTTAGGCGCAGCCGCTTAATGATATTAAACTGTTGATTTATGTACAGAAAGGTTCCGAGAAGTAAAATTCGTGTTAGTTCTCAATGCAGTTTATTTGAATTATTATAGCGAAGGACTTATACAAGTTGAAATTAAGTCATAGGTTATAATAAACTTTTTATATTTCTATATATTAAGTACACTTTCAGTAAGTATAAGAATCAATTATAGTTTTAAATACTAAAATAAACACGCTTTCGACTAATTTGTTTTAATTAAAAAAAATTCAAACCAAAGAAATGAATGTAATCTTAAAGATTTTACTAAAAACCATTGAAAATTCCACTATCCACCCCAAGACTTCATCGTCATACCAGCTCGATGGAAATTAAAGTAATGCATTGTCGGCTAGATTTCATTTATGTACTTAACTACCTAAAGTTTGAAGTCAATGCGATGGTTGGAAGTTATATTGACTTCTAAGGTTTGACTACTTACATATGACAAAGTCATAATACGAGTTAAGATATAATAAGTTCCCATATGTACTGTCTGTTACCGCATCACGGAAAAACCACTGGATGGTTTTATACGCATTTTGGTATCGTGATACCTGGTTATGTGGGTCAACATATAGGATACTTTTTACCGCGGGAAAATGTCTCATTTCTGAGAAAAAATACGAAAACTACAATGTAAGAGTACACTAATATGTAAAACCTAAGAATTTGGTTTTTGGTCATCTGAACGCGGGCAGAGCCGCGGGCAATGCTAGTTATATAATATATTCTAAAACATACCATGTCACTTTAGAGGACAAAAAATAAGCATGAATATAAATATCATTTAAAACATTTCTACTTGTCTAGTTTCGCTGGCGTTAGTTTATAGGAACGAGCGCGCTAGCGTGCCCTATCTGTCATCTCGGGGGCGTCACGGCAAACACGGCGTTACCTCGGCGTTTTATTAGGGTTCCGCGCTAACCACTAACGCGATATGCTAATAATGTGAAATCAAGCATCTTTCTAAGGGATTAACATATGAATTTAATCAAATATACACCTACATATGAGCTACATTGTTCTTTTAATTACATTAATATAATAATTGCGAATATTTGTGAGTGATTGTGCATGTTTGTTACCTTTACGCTGAATTTTTAACATTGAGAAAAGCCAATACTAGCCACTAAAACTCAACGAAACCACCCTCGTCTTAATAGGGCGTCGCAGGATCGCTTATGTACTCCACCACGACGCCCTGACAGCTGGCTGGGTTGCTCCGACAGTCGACTCTGCTATCAAAGAAGTACCAGGAGCAACCCGCAAGGTACATCATCCATCGAAGTGGACCACCGGCAAACTCCTACTATGTACTTTTTCTTCTCGTCTGTCGATCTCTGGGGGAGCACGTTGTAATATCTCAACCGATTTAAATCGGAATAGAGTGAGCTTCTTGCTATATTTAAGCCATTTTTATTGACGCGTAACACTAGGTAGTTATCACGGGTAAAAAGTAATAAAATCAAACAAAAATAAACTTATGTAACAAATAATTTTGACAGGAGTAATTTATAAAATACTCATAACAATCTAACTTAAAAAGCTGAATCTGTTCATTTCATGAACCAAGCGTAAACGATGATACACACAATTTTTAGACATATCCTTCCCTCGAGTGTACACTTCTTTTTTTGTTCACAGCTTATTACTATAGGGTTGTTGACATTCAGTTGGTTTTTATATTTTTATTATAATACAATAAGATAAAAATTTTTTAGCAACTTTCATAAACTCATAAAACCTCTATAGGTGAATTACTAACATTTTATATATACAGACGTAAAATACTTCATTTATATATTGATATACGAGTATATGAATAGTTAATAATACTAGCTGGAAATAATTAAGAAATAATAATCAAATAATTTCGTTATAAAGAATAATTATTCTTAAACTATTAATTAGTCGTTTTCAGTAAAATAATTTGTTAGTACCTAGTTGATATTTTTTCTAGAGAATGATACAAAGGAAATAATCATATTATTTACTTTATAAAGAAAAGAAATAAATACATTTTACTGAAAACTTGTATCGACTTTCAAAATTACTTACTTATTTTACTGTACCTACGTTAAATATTTTTTTGGAAAATCTTATTGAAATAGTTTTCTATCTGTCTGGGAACGCATCACGAGAAAACCACTGGACAGATTTTAATGAAATTTGGTATGATGATAGCTGGTTATCCGGGTCAACTTTTTACTGCAAGAAAATATCTCATCACTGAGATATCTATATTAAACATTTATACAAATATACCTATATACTAGAGAGTAACATAGTTATTAAAAAACATTAAAATCTTTTTAAAGTTGGCAAACATAAAAACATTATAAATAAATAAAAATATTAATTGATTAATAATAACCATTAATTAATTGATAACCTAATAATTATAATAAAAACACGTCAACTACATCATATTGTGATTCCAAATTTAGAAAACAGCATTTGTCCAGATTTCTATAGAAAAGTTTTCGCTTCTTTAAAAATATAAGAAATGATAACAAATGTATTTAACACAGCCAAAAACCAAAATTGAACGAATGATATGATACAATCAAATATTTATAACAATCTTTCAAAGATACATTCGATTGGTATTATATCGCTAAATCAGCAATTATCCAGTGGTTCAACCCTATACCGATTGCGATCAAGAACGATCCCGTGGAAATGAGAACTGGCGGCCGGGGACCGTGCAGATAAAAAGTTTCACTTTTCCACCAACTCTCCGCGGCGACATTCGTTGCGACAATAACGATGCCTATACCAGATATAACATTATGGTTGACCTAAATGCTACACGAATCTCTTTTATTACAACATTACAACCATTTTTTCACTACACTTCTTAATTACTATGACTTAATATTTGCATCACTTTTACACACAAACACACTTTGTTTTTCTTGAATAAGAAATTCAAACTTCTTCCCGAACTACAACAACTTTTAAAGGAAAAATATTAACAAGTGCAACATTTTCTTGCACGACTTCTTTAGGTGATAAGGAGTGTGGGTCGCAAGTTACGGGGCCAGTGGCAGTTTTATTTACGATCCAGAGCAATATCTGAAGAAGGCAGCTTTGGGTATACTAATATCGGTCGTGTGGGCGCAGGCGATAGCCGCTCGATAGAATAATATGACGGGTAGGACCGGCCCGCTAGCACGTAGGCAATAAGCCGCCGGCACCAAGCCAAAGCCGCTCGGAAAAATAAGATTGCACTCGGACGTTCCGACCCGCGCGTGCTCTCACATACCGCACTGAACAGTCCGGATTCAGCAGTGAGGCTCATACGTTGTATTTAAATATATATAATCATGATCATATGCTATTTCAAGTAGTTATTTTTTTTATTTTTTGTTTAAATAGATCGAATAATTTGTTTTGGATTTTTTAATGAAATATAAGATGAATGTACGTTGCATGTAGTATTTTTTTAATCAGTCTTTTTTGATGTCATACTGCTGGGCATGGGCCTCCCTTCAATTTAATCAGATCATAGTCCACCACGCTGGCCAAGTGCGTGCTCGCGAACTTCTCATGTTTTTCGAAAAAATGTTAGATTCTCTCAGACATGCAGGTTTCCTCGCGATGTTTTCCTTCACCGTAAGACAACTGGTAATCATGTTGAATGACAAAGAGATGCGAGACCCTGGATTTGAATCCGCTTCATTCGGTTACCCAAGCTGGGCTACTGGGCTACCACTGCTTTCACCTGCATATATAGTATAGGTAATTTTATCTTATGTTACTAATTCACGTCTTATTTTTTTTTAAATATACATATACGTTTTCCTTACATTTAACAAACACAATTGATAAATTTTATAAAATGAAATAAAAAGATCTAACTGGTAGACTTTAAAAGACACGAGAATTTAATAATAAATATGCAGTCAAATATTGCTCTTTCATGCATACGTGGTTAACGTGCTCAGTGTAACATATTCAAGAAAACGTCCCGTAGAGGCAAGCCTTGTTTCATTTTACGATCTTATCGAAATAATCCGATCTCGCTTGTTATTTACTGCCACCTTCCCTCAATTCCGACTCTTACTAGCCAGGGGAGCGATCGGTGCAAGTAATTATGGACCTTATGGCGCTACTACACTTGACACTAAGTTCTTTACGTTAATCCAGTGTTTATAACTCCTTACACACTCCGGGTCCGTTTCAAAGGAGACAACGTAAGTGGCTCTGAGAGCCTTACAATATGAAACGTATGAAGACGTTTATATGATTCAATATTGCCAGGGAAATACAAGCTATTTCGATGTTTTAAGTTGAAATACTTGTGCAGACGTATGGGAGATTGAGAGGAAAAATCTAGATGTTTTATTTCACATGAGACTGCGGTTGTGATGTGAACCGAGGCATACTATCACAATAAACACTTTGCGGTCTCATATATGTAATATTCATGGGTCGTAGGCTTATCCAAGGAGCCAACGTGATGCGCTATAAATGTCACCCGCAACCTTCTTCAACAAGTAAAAATATTTACTTTTTATAGTAATTTTCAATTCTAAAGATATATGAATTATGCTTAGAAAATGTTCTTAAAGTTTTTTTTTTTTGCTGTATAGTATTTATTTACAATAAAGAAAATTACAAATATACTTAATTATATATACTGTTATATATCTTAAAGTTACTTAGACAATATTCATCCCTAATATATTATGTACTCGTATGTATATCTAAAAAATTACTTTTTACAAAGAATTCCGCTGCAATTATTATACGATTACAAACAACTTAGTGAAATCGATCTGAATACTTGGTAGCTACGATGACACTTCATGGGTGATAAAAATATTAATTCAAACCCCTTTTCAAATATTGCTGGCACAAACAAGCCAACGTATTTTGACATAAACAAAATGTACAATATCATTGTTATTACTGTTATATTTAATGGAACATGTTGCACATCAGATAGACATAATTACAACTTTTCTGTTTTCAATGTTTGCGGCATGATTACCAATAGCGGTGGAGTCTGATTGGTATGTAAGTTACGGGACGTAACGGCGAACTTAGCTCATTACCACTGGTACGTTTGCTGAATGACAATGGAAGAAATTTTTACTTCATTCGCGTCTACACTTATTAGCCGGTGTCGGACGTGTAGAAGCAAGTCTTGAAAGCGGTTTGTTATTTTCGTATTGAATTTTTCCTTCCTCTCGATGCTTCCTTTGTTCTTAAGTGTTAGCTTTCAATTTTAATATATAAATATTGTATTTCATTTCGTTTGTACATTTATCTATATTCTACTTTTTTATTTAAACTGTATTTTAGTAGTGGTACTAGCTTCATTTCTTTACTATCCAAGCTTATTGATTCAAAATTAATTAATTATGAATATAAATAATATATTTATCTACATCATATGTATGTATGTATTACAAGGTTCTATGTTAATTTTAATGAAGTTTAGTAATTTTTACATAGAACTTCGTTATTTTGTTATCGTAAAAAAACAACATAGAACTATGTAAAATTGAATATTTTGCAGTTATAGTGCCGCTATCTAGTGGTTTGTTTTTGCAAAACTGTAGCTAATGACACATAGAACCTTGTAGCATTAATAACTAAATAAGTACTAAAATTGTAACATAGAACCTTGTAATAGTGAGCCAACGTTATGTAATTTAAAAATAAAAAAAAAATACAAACGTTATATAAAACCCCTAGACAACTATTAACACTCATGCAAAATCCACTATCTGTCTCATCTAGCTACCTTCAGGAAAAGTAATAAGTAACACTGAGATAAAAGAGTTCATATTTCTAACAAAACTAGTTTCAGCATAATAAATATGATAAACCTAGACTTTATCAAAAAAAGAATAATACAACACTTACATCATATTATTATACGAGTAAAACTATATTTAATCTTTGTAACTAAAATATAAAATAAAGATATGTATATTAAAAAAAAATACAGTCGAATTGAGAACCTCCTTCTTTTTGAAGTCGGTTGATAAAATAGGAAAACAGCTCGAGATGAGATTTTTCAAGGAAATTGTTATCTACCATGTAGATTGCAGACAAATTATAAATAAGATATGATTTTGAACAAATCTAATCTTGACTAATTAAAAAATCTATACATATAATCAAATATAAATATGAAAAAAATGAAGTCGCCTGAAACACTTTATGCAAACTAGTTTAAAGCTTACCAGTGCATCGTCCTTTTAAAACATTCAATAAATAGATTTGAATTAATTAAGTTCGAGGAACTTTGCGGAATTAGCTAAAATCATAGAGTAACAAGCAGCCAAGTCACCAGTTTCTTTTGACGTCGCCAAGCCGAGTTCGTAAATGGAATTTGCAAGTAATTTTGCCGCCTCCGACCTTCTCCCTCGCCTTGCTCTCTTGTCTCCGCGTGTCGCTTCCATTACAAATTGTGTTGGAATAAAAATATGCTATAAACTCCATGGAGTTGCTAATGCAGATTTATTATCGCGCTTCTCGCCGGAACTTTGAATTTTAAATAGACTTCCAACAAAGGAAGACTAGCACTAGCAAACTAATTTTGTAGAATTTTCATAATTTTATTTGTGTGCACTGTTTTTGTTCTTGGATTAGTTAGTTAGTTAGTTATATATAATGTATTGAAATATTGCTGAACATTTTTATATTATGTGAACTGACTCAATTTTTATTATTCATTCAAATTTTTTAAACTAATATGTATATTAGTATTTAGTTTTTTTTGTTTAATTTATATCATAAATAAAAAAAAAAAATTAGATAGTGGGCTTTTTAGCCCGTTATTTCAACTCTATAGATATCCATCAGTTCACGAGAAGAAGTGGGCGTGTAATAGGAAATGTTCCGCATATTGACTCCAACGACGTTCCCCAGATCTCTAAACAATGACACACAGACACAAGCTCCTTGCACCAAATTTAGATTTTCTACTTGCACGTTGACACAGTAATCGGCTTTTACATTCTTTTTAACATAATATAATAATTCTATATGATGCGTAAAACGTATTTTTAAAATATTACAAAAGAAAATTTCTTACTTCATTTACATTTAAGATCTATATATCTACATATATTTTTATATTAACTGATGCTATATATAACATAAATACTAAGAACAAGTGCTATTATAAAATAAACATCTAATAGCTGCCCTCGATTTCAAAAGGCCTTTGAAAGATCAACAAAATTTGATGAGTCCGTCAAAGTGAAAATTGTTCTAAAATCGCTCCTCTAGAAAAGTTAAAATTGGAAAACGTCTTGGCGTACTATGAAATACCTCGAGGCTTACTTTAAGTTTTTGCCCTTTGAAAAGTGAAAGGCTGATCTCGTATGTCGACGTTGCTACTTAGATTTTCCTTTCGCTTACCTTTGTTGTACATAGAAAGTAATTTAAGAAAATATAATTAATAACAGGCTATTTTATGCAATATATGTTATATGTTACTATAGGTATTATAATCTCAACTGAGTATCGAAAATTACAACAGTTTGGCGGAGGCAGTTTGGTCTAATGTATGTAGATCCCTTACAAGTATGTAGATACTTTAATATGATGTTAATGTATCATTATTGTTTGCTTAAACGTAATATTATATTGTTGCATTCAAAATAAATTTTATATATGTTCTAAAGAGTGTCCTTCGTCATATAAAACAAAAAATTACAATTTCGAAGAATAAAATATTTAAAATTACTGAGAAAGGTATTTTCATAGACTTAATAAAAAATATAATCTTGAAAGTCTTGAAGTGTTTATATCTGTGGCTACTTACATAATTTTATATTTAATCGGCATTTCCATGTATCGGTTCACAATAAAAAAATATTTTAGTACTTAAAAATTAATGCTTAAGATTTATTTATATCTATTACGCTTCTTTCATTACAACATTAATCAGAAGTATTCAACAATATATTATGTATACATAAATACATATATGAAACCTTTTAAACGTAAAGCAAATTTTATATGTTTATTTTTATTTAACTTTGAACATTTTGCTGCTTTCAATCTTCTGTACACTCTTGAACATAAAAATTGCCGTCAAAAAGGATTTTTTAGGATAGAAGTTTAAACAAGTTTCGGGTGTAGTTCTTGATCCCTTTACGTCTGCAAAGGGCTAAAGGGCAAATGTTTATTCAAAGATTTGATAGATTTATAAAAACTATTACAGTCAGAAATTCAATTTGAAATGCAATACTGAATTTTATTGCATATCAATTTTGATTTCAAGAAATATTATTAATAAATATTACACTATCGACTGATAGAGGATTCAAATGT